TGACATTCAAAAGGCAACAGACATTGAGTGTGATGTAACATAAACGAGTAATGAAGGTAAAGTTGACCTCGGCCTCCTACTCCAAGAGATGAACTATTAAGGATCTTTCTTTTCTACCTTAACTGGAGTATTTATATTGACCTAGAAGGAAGCCAAGTTCCAATAGCAGAACACCTATAAGAATTCTGAGGACATTGAAGAGAGTAGATGGGTAAAAATTGTATGTGTTTTGTGGTGAGAAAGGAATACGAGCAAAACTATCCCACTCGTGACTTAACGCTTGATGGTTTGTTATATAATTATACATGTTGCATGTTCTATAACTGATAAGACCCTAAAACGAAATAGGATGAACTAGAGTTTCATGTGTGTTTTATGACTTGATAACTTGTTATAATGTTGAGATTTATCTTTTAAAAGTTGGTTTAAAGAGTTTTGAGGTCAAATGTCAAGGACGACCAACACATTTAGAAACTACTCATTTGTGTGCTAGTGTGTCCTTGTGTGTTGTCCTTGTTTTGGTGTGTGGTTTGGTGTCAAAAATCAGTGTGAAGGACCCTAGTACCTTAATGATTATGTTTAGGGGTTAAACGTCCGGGTACGACTCCTCAAGGACCACCCTAAGGGTCCTATAGGAGGACCCTAAGTTCAACCCCAAGGCTACCAAAAACAGTGGGGTGACCCACGAGCTAGAGTGACGCTCCGTCACTAGGATGGCGACCTGTTGGTGGGCTCCGTCACCCCCACCTTACCCTGTGGAGTCTTGGTCTCCATTGAGGGGCCTAAGTCCCTTTCCACGAAGTGACAGAACGGTTTGTCACACCACCCACGGTCCGTGGGTGGTGGCCATTTGTAAATAACTGTGTGCTGTCAATTATTTCGGCCACTTGAGGGGTGAATTGGTAAATTCACCCCAAGTCTTTTAAAGGGTATGGACGATTTTTTTTACCTATTTTAGGGTATTTTAAGTTATTTAAAAAGATGGAAACCCTCACTTAGACCTCATTCTTCAAATCAAACCCTTCCCTCTCAAATATATTCTCTCAAGAACACCATTGAAGGGAAAGGTCCAATTCAAGCTAGGAGAAGGGAATTCAAGTGGTTTTTATTCAATTTGTCGTGGGCTTTCATTACCTAGGTATGGTGTTCCCTTCATCATTGTTTACCCTCTCATTCAAGGTGTCCAATCAAAGGTTTTCAAAAAGGGTTTCGAAAGATAAGATCAAAATTCCAAATTTTGATTCTTAGCATGGGTTAAATGGAAAATGGTTTCTAAAGTCATAATAATGGTGAATTGATGGTTTTTTTTTTACTGTTTTTATGTTGATTTTCCATGGAATTCTTGAAGAACCCATGTTTCCCTAAATCTTCTAAATTGGCTTGTAAAGTGAGTTGATAATCATGATTGTTCATTGATAGAATTGTATTTAGATTACATTATAGTATTGATTTATATTGTTATCTACTTCTTTCTACGATGAATTATTGATGTATGAATGAGTTGCTGATATTGGCCTTATGAGCATGATAACCTGTAAGTTCTCTTGTTATGTGGAATTGTTGGAGGTTGAATGATGTGGATTGTGGCATTAGAGAAGAGTAAGTTAACCAAACTTCTTGGTTATTATGAAATTATTCTTGTTTGGTTTGATCCACTTATGGTGGAGGTGCTTATCTGTTGTATGTATTGTGATAATGGCCCTTAAGACATTAGAGGATTAAGTGAAGTGTTGTCTTGATGTAGAATGTTAATGTGAAGTATGTTTGTTTATGAATTGTGAATGAAGTTAATGATAATGTAATGAATATGGGTCCATTGAAAGGTTTCCTTAATTTAACTCTAATGAATGAATGGGGGATTTGAGATGGATGCTTCCCCGTGAATAGAGGTGGAGTGTCTAGTAGCAATCTCAATATTCTTAAAGAGCTTTCCAATGAATGAATGGTTAGTTTGGATGGATGCTCATTTGTGAGTAGAGAAGGAGTGTCTAGTATCAATCCTCATCCCATAAAGAATGAACGTAATGACCTCCATGGGGAATAATGCCTAGCACCGAGAGGTTATAAAATGGGATCTATGCTTCCCCGTGAATAGAGGTGGAGTGTCTAGTAGCAACCTCTTGAGATGCATTCTTCCCCGTGAGTAGAGGTGGAGTGTCTAGTAGCAATCTCCCTATCCCTTAACTATGCGCCCGCATAGGTCTATAGCTAGTGGAATCCACTTAAGCTAGAAATAATGACCCTACCTGAGGCAAGTGGGGAACCCTTATCCAGTAAGGTTTACTACCGGGATTCCATGTCAAGTTCTCATGGTTTATGTCGGTTAAGGCTTACCCCCACACCAATGATTAATGAACTATGGTTTCCTATGGGTGTACTACTTAGTGTGGGTAGTGGAATGGGATATTATCTATGCATTGCACAAGTAGACATTTGAAGGAGATCATGGTGTGTTTCATTTGATGATAATAAATGAATGGGTCCGTATGAGAATTGAATGAATGAATGAGCCTTAATGATGTTAATGGAGTATGTTGGTCCTATGGCTAATGAAAACGAATGTGTTGTGACTTGTTGAAGGTAATGTGCCTAGCTTAGGGTGACTTCATCGGAGCACTTGGTGTAAGTAGTAGTATGGGATGCTACCTGCACATTGCACTAGTGTTACTTGGAGTTGTCTTAGGGGATGGTTCCTTTTTAAAGAAGCATGGTTTATAATGTGTTTATGTCATTATCAATGTTGACTTGTATTGAAAAAGAAGGGTCCTTGCTTTGGTGGTCTAGAGGAACACCTAGCTATGTGTGAAGAGGTTGTATGGGCAGCCCTTTAATGTCCTACTTAGGTGGGTCTTGGGATAGTCTTAGGTGGAGGGTCTATGATAAATGAGTGATTAACATTGCGTAAGATGTTGTCTAATGGTTACTTGAGGTGAATGTTAAAAGGTAAATGGATGGTTTACATGTGGTATATGTATGAAATGGCTTATAACTTGCATGATTGCTTATGGTTGAGTATTGTGACTGTTTTACTTGTATTTCATGAAGTTTTACCAAAAATGACATACTTGCATGGCTTTCAAATAAATGTCCTTTTAAAACTTGTTTTTGCATGGTCACCATACTTAGTGCTTAATTGTACTAATTCCATATTTTCCTCTACTTTTTTTTACAAAGTGTAGGTGTGGGCTAGTGAGGTGATCCTTAAGGTTGAAGCTTCAGAGTCGATTCACCTCAAGATTCTTGGTATGTCCTCAAAGCATTCGAGGACACCTATCTTAGTAGTTTATTTCAATTCATGTAATAGACTTTAGTGTTTTCGATTGTGTAAAGGGGCGTGACCCTATTTTGTATGTTTGTCTAAGTTGGCTAAGTGAGACTAGTATTCCGTTTACGTATAAAGACTTTTTTTAAAAGTGATTGACTGCCAAGTCTTAAGAGGTTGTTTAAAAAGTTTTTAAATTTCATACTATTTCTATGCTATTATGTTCGTGTATTCTATGTGGTTTGTATGCGACCCCTTCGGGGTCAGCTACGCTGGTTACGACTAGGCGGTTCTCTCGCGTCGTGACAAACTTGGTATTAGAGCATAAGGTTATGAGAATGGTCTTTGGTTCAAAGTCTCACAAGCCATGTCTAGTAGAGTCTTGTTCATCGGTGTGAGTCGCGACACATCTATGAGCGAGAGGCTATAGGACGATAGAAGTTACAGTTCTTTCATATTATTGAAGTGGTGCCTTAGAGTGTAGTTCTATAAGATCTCTTCCTAACCCCTCTCTTGTGTTTATAGGAACATGAATACGAGAGGGACTAATGCAAGGAGGGCACAAGGCAGAGGCGTATTCAGGATTTTATAAGGATGGGTGCATTATTACGAAAATATGCATCTAAGAAATAAATTTGATCGGTTTAACCTTTACGTTCTTAACACTAACAGTTAAACTTTAAAAATTATAGGTCTAACATATATAATACTACTAGTTTTAAATTTTAATATAAATATTTGATTTAATAATATAAAAATTATACCAAGCTAATTTTATTTAGGAATTTTCAATGTTACACATTTGAAAATTTTGAAAGATAAAAGAAAAAAATAAAAGAAAAATTGATTGAAACGCCAAAAGTGCTACCGATAACCACTTGGAGAGGTGTTAATAAGAAAAATAAGATAGATATAAGATTTAAATTACTATATTTGCTTAAAGAGGTGCACCCAATCTTTATCGTATTATTATATGTTACTTTTAATGTGGGTTCACACCTCTATATTTAAATATTTTTTAAAAAATATAACACTACTATATATATTCTAGAGAGGGGAGCATGGGTTCATGTGAACCCACAGAACCCCTCTAGATACGCCTCTAGCACAAGGTGAGAATGTGAATGATGAGGTTCCCCCTCGAGTGCCCCAAGGTCCACAAGCCCCTAATGAAGAAGGGGTCATGTCTAATGTGGAGATAAGGGCTGACTTCTAAACTTTGACTCAACTCATGACGACCCAAGCTCAAGTCGTCACCACTCAAGCTCAAGCCATGACGACCCAAGCTAACTGAGGAGTTGGACCACAAGTAAACCTCAATCCAAGTACTCCCGCTTCTAGAATCCAGGATTTCACAAGGATGAATCCTCCTACTTTCCATGGCTCTAAGGTCGGTGAGGACCCACAAGGTTTTATAGATGAGGTGCTTAAGGTGGTGGAGGCTATGGGAGTGACTTCTAGGGACAAGGCGTAACTAGCCGCCTACCAATTGAAAGATGTAGCTCAGGTGTGGTTTGAGCAATGGAGAGATGAGAGACCCGTAGGGGCTGGCCCGGTAGATTGGGGAGTGTTTAAGACGGCCTTTACTGATAGGTTTTTCCCCTAAGAATTGAGAGAACAAAAGTTAGTGGAATTTATGGACCTCCGTCAAGGGGGAATGAGTGTGCAGGAATACTCTCTCAAGTTCAGCCAACACTCTAAGTATGCCCCAACCTTGGTAGAAAATTCTACGGCTAGAATGAATAAGTTTGTGATGGGGGTGTCCGGTTTGGTTGAAGAAGAGTGTCGTACATCAATGCTCCATCATGATATGGATATTTCTAGGCTCATGGTGTATGCCCAACAAATTGAAGAGACCAAGCTTAGAAAGATGAATAGGAAGTTGAAGAGGAGTACGCCGGATGAGCAAGGTCAACCTAAGTCTAAGAAGAGGTTTTATAATCAAGACTCTCTTATGGTGAACAAGGGTAAGGTGTTTAACTCTAATGTTCAAGGAGGAAATGGAGGTGGTTCTTCATTTGAGAGGTATAAATGTACTACATGTGGTAAACAAAATTTAGGAAAGTGTCTTGTCGATACAGATGAGTGTTTTGGGTGTGGAAAGAAGGGCCATAAGATGAGAGATTGGCCAACACTTTCGGCAAAAGGGAAGGAGACCAACCAAGCTCCTCATGGTGGTCCGGATCCTAATGCTCCAAAGAGGAATCATTTCTATGTGCTACAATCTAACAAAAAATCTAATCCGGAATGAAAGTTTCGGTAAGTCATAGTTCCGTAAGGTTATGATGTCTTTTTGAAGTTCTCATGATTGTCCTAAGTTTCCATGAATTGGGTTTACCCTTAAATGGGGGATAATGAGTTGAGTAGTAAGGTGTTGATATCCATATCTTATTCCTTCTATTCTTATACTCAAGATTGAGACCAAGAATTCCTAGTAGCTTGTTTATGTTTTGGAGTTATGTGTATGATTATGAGTTGCATGTTCTCCTTATGATATGTGTGTTCTAAATGATACTATGTTTAAATGATAAGATTTGTAAATGATCTACATTCTTCTCATGATTAGTGTGCATCTAGCATGATTTGCTTAATTGGCTCATAAAGTAAAATGTTGATCATGCCTATGTGTGCTTTGAAAGTAATTGAATGTTTGGCCTTAGGATGAATTGATGATCATGTCTAAAATTGAAGAAGGTAGTTCCTCCATATTTCAATGCAAATGATGAGGTATGTGTGCCTTATGAGTTTGTAGAAGTAGTTCCTACTTGCTTGTGTTGTATTGGGTGCATGATGGTATGAAGTTGCTGTTCCCTGTAAGTTAGGTGCATTGACTGTATTGATGTGTAATTATGGGCTACTAATTTGAGTCATGAAGTTCTTGAAAAGTGTTTAAGTGTCTTTCGAGGACGAATAGTCCCAAGTGGGGGATATTGTTAAGACCCTAAAATGAAATAGGATGAACTAGAGTTTCATGTATGTTTTATGAGTTAATAACTTGTTATAATGTTGAGATTTATCTTTTAAAAGTTGGTTTAAAGAGTTTTGAGGTCAAACGTCAAGGGATGACCAAGACATTTGGAAACTAGTCGTTTGTGTGATAGTGTGTCCTTGTGTGTTGTCCTTGTTTTGGTGTGTGGTTTGGTGTCAAAAATCAGTGTGAAGGACCCTAGTATCTTAATGTTTATGTTTAGGGGTTAAACGTCCGGGTATGACTCCTCAAGGACCACCCTAAGGGTCCTTGAGAATGAACCTAAGTTCAACCCCAAGGTTGCCAAAAACAGTGGGGTGACCCACGAGCTAGAGTGACGCTCCGTGACTAGGATGATGGCCCGTTGGTGGGCTACGTCGCCCCCACCTTAGCCTGTGGAGGCTTGGCCTCCATGGAGGGACCTTAGTACCTTTCCACGAAGTGACAGAACGGTTAGTCACACCACCCACGATTCGTAGGTGGTAACTGTTGGTAAAGAACTGTGTGCTGTCAATTATTTTGGCCACTTGAGGGGTGAATTGGTAAATTCAGCCCAAGTCTTTTAAAGGGTATGGACGGTTATTTTACCTATTGTAGGGTATTTTAAGTTATTTAAAAAGATGGAAACCCTCACTTAGACCTCACTCTTCAAATCAAACCTTTCCCTCTCAAATATAATCTCTCAAGAACACCATTGAAGGGCAAGGTCCAATTCAAGCTAGGAGAAGGGAATTCAAGTGCTTTTTCTTCAATTTTTCGTGGGCTTTCATACCTTGGTATGGTGTTCCCTTCATCATTGTTTACCCTCTCATTCAAGGAGTCCAATCAAAGTTTTCAAAAAGGGTTTTGGAAGATCAAATTTCCAAATTTTGATTATTAGCATGGGTTCAATGGAAAATGGTTTCTAAAGTCATAATAATGGTGAATTGATGGTTGTTTACTGTTTTTAAGTTGATTTTCTATGGAATTCTTGAAGAACCCATGTTTCCCTAAATCTTCTAAATTGGCTTGTAAAGTGACTTGATAATCATGATTGTTCATTGATAGAATTGTATTTAGATTACATTATAGTATCGATTTCTATTGTTATCTACTTCTATCTATGATGAATTGTTGATGTATGAATGAGTTGGTGATATTGGCGCCTTCTGGGCATGATAACAGGTAAATTCTCTTGTTATGTGGAATTGTTGGAGGTTGAATGATGTGGATTGTGGCATTGGAGAAGAGTAAGTTGACCTAACTTCTTGGTTATTATGAAATTGTTCTTGTTTGGTTTGATCCACTTATGGTGGAGGTGCTTATCTGTTGTATGTATTGTGATCATTGCCCTTAAGGAATTAGAGGATTAAGTGAAATGTTGTCTTGATATAGAATGTTAATGTGAAGTATGTTTGTTTATGAATTGTGAATGAAGTTAATGTTAATGTAATGAATATGGGTCTATTGAAAGGTTTCCTCAATTGAACTCTAATGAATGAATGGGGGATTTGAGATGGATGTTTCCCCGTGAGTAGAGGTGGAGTGTCTAGTAGCAATCTCAATATTCCTTAAGAGCTTTCCAATGAGTGAATGGTGGGTTAGGATGGACGCTCATCCGTGAGTAGAAGAGGAGTGTCTAGTAGTGATCCTTACCCCATAAAGAATGAAAGTAATGAATGTAATGAACTCCGTGGGAATAATGCCTAGCACCAAGAGGATATGAAATGGGGTGGATGCTTCCCCGTGATTAGAGGTGGAGTTTCTAATAACAACCTCTTGAGATGGATGCTTCCCCGTGAGTAGAGGTGGAGTGTCTAGTAGCAATCTCCCTATCCCTTAACTATGCGCCCGCATAGGTCTATAGCTAGTGGAATCCACTTAAGCTAGAAATAATGACCCTACCTTAGGCAAGGGGGAAACCCTCATCCGGTAAGGGTTACTACCGGGATTCCATGTCAAGCTCTCATGGTCTACGTCGGATAAGGCTTATCCCCACACTAATGATTAATGAATTATGGTTTCCCTTGGGTGTACTACTTAGTGTGGGTAGTGGAATGGGATTTTATCTATACATTGCATAAGTTGACATTCGAAGGGGGTCATGGTGTGTTCCTTTTGATAATAATGAATGAATGGGTCGGTATGTGATGTGAATGAATGAATGAGCCTTAATGATGTTAATGGAGTATGTTGGTCCTATGTCTAATGAAAACAAATGTGTTGTGACTTGTTGAAGGTAATGTGCCGAGCTTAGGGTGACTTCATAGGAGCACTTGGTGTAAGTAGTAGTATGGGACGTTACTTTCACATTGCACTAGTGTGACTTGGAGTTGTCTTAGGGGATTGTTCCTTTATAAAGAAGCATGGTTTATAATGTGGTTATATCGTTATGAATGTTGACTTGTTGGCTTGTATTGAAGAAGAAGGGTCCTTGCCTTTGGTGGTCTAGAGGAACACCAAGCTATGTGTGAAGAGGTTGTATGGGAAAACCCTTCATGTCCTACTTAGGTGGGTCTTGGGAGAGCCTTAGGTGGAGGGTTTAAGATAAAAAAGTGATTAACATTGCATAAGGTGTTCTCAAGGTGTTCTCTTATGGTTACTTGAGGTGGATGTTAAAAGGTAAATGGATGGTTTACATGTGGTATATGTGTTAAATGGCTTATAACTTGCATGATTGCTTATGGTTGAGTATTGTGACTGTTATACTTGTATTTCATCAAGTTTTACCAAAAATGACATACTTGCATGGCTTTCAAATAAATGTCCTTTTAAAGCATGTTTTTGCAAGGTCACCATACTTAGTGCTTAATTGTACTAATTCCATATTTTCCTCTACTCTTTTTACAAAGTGTAGGTGTAGGCTAGTGAGGTGATCTTTAACGTTGAAGCTTGGGAGTAGATTCATCTCAAGATTCTTGGTATGTCCTCAAAGCATTCAAGGACACCGATCTTAGAAGTTTATTTCAATTCATGTAATAGACATTAGTGTTTCCGATTGTTTAAATGGGCGTGAACCCTATTTTGTACGTTTGTCTAAGTTGGTTAAATGAGACTAGTATTCCGCTTGCGTATAAAGACTTCTTCTAAAAGTGATTGACTTTGAAGTCTTAAGAGGCAGTTTAAAACGTTTTAAAATTTCGCACTATTTCTATGCTATTATGATCATGTATGCTATGTGGCTTGTATGCGTGTCACACCCCAACCCAAGGTAAGGCGGACATGTACCATATGAACACATGATTTACAAGTGACCTGTGATTAGAAAGTAAACTACTATGCACATAGATTTACTGATGAGAAGCTTTATATACAACACATATTGACTAGCTGAACTGATATATGTGACAAGTGAAACTATGAATAGAGATGATAGCTTTACAATGTCAACAAAGCCTCTACTGGAATCCATGACTGTACCACTATGAAATACACATAGTAAAGACTCGGCAAAGCCCCGAATCAACCTGGAGCTAACCAACAACCGCTGCGTATCATGTGCTTCTATTGGGGAGATCTACTAGTTGAGTACCTGTACCTTGCTATACAATTCAAAAAGTATGACTTAAGCTCCTTTTCTTCAGATTACTAATCTTGCTGGACCGAACTATCACTTGCTAAGACTTGGATTCTTCAAGATAAAGGTTGTCCTCCTTAACCTGTCTTAAATTAAACCTTCCAACAGCTGGAACTCCCTAATTTTCAAGAAGCCTAATGGTATTTAATGGCTGATGTATGAAGCTAAGAGAGAGAAGAGAGAGCTCTGGAAATCAAATTTTTGGCAAAGTAAAAATGGACTTTCTCACTCATTTTGGGCCATAATATTTCAAGTAGGTGACCCACCTACTTGCACTTTTCACTTAAGTCTTTTTGGACTTAAGAACATTGGGCCTTTTGCCACCTTTCTTGTACTTCTTTTGAAGCCAAACATGTGTCTTTAATTTAGGCCACACATTTAAGTACGTGATGCAACTACTTTTCCATTCAAATTATTTCTTGTGGGCCTAGAAAGATTTGTCCTTGGCTGTCCATTTCCCCCTTATTCTTCTATTCAGCTTGGGCGAGATTAATGCAAGTAGGTGTAGTGTACTTGGCCCAATAACATGGTCAAAAGAGTCTTTGTAGGTGATCAACCTACTTGTTTCTTTGGGCTGGTCAATAAGTCAAAGTAGGTGATGCACCTACTTGTCATCTACTAGCTTAGTGAAGTCAAGCAAGCACCTTAATATTTTTTTCCATTTCTAGACCTTAATACCTTTCACTTAACTTAAAACATATCTACACTATGTCACTTTAAACTTTAT